ACATGTCTCAAACTCCCCACTATGTTTAAAAATGGGTGGCTGCTCAAACGTGTTTCAACATTCAGGGTCGGCCAAGATCTGCTTAAACGGCTTACACGTATAGTGTGTGACAACATGTTTACGCTTAGACAGTTTAACTGTTAAGCGTGTTTATCCCGGCCCTGCAGCACAGTTAGTGGCTTGCCCTTGACAGTCACTCGCCAGCGTGCTCGCAGGGTGCAATTTCAGGCCTCGTGGACGTGTTTCCTCCCCAGGAAAAGGCCGAACTGCCCTGCACAGCCATCCGACTCTATCAACGCCAAAGAGTTGCAGGGTCAAAACGGCCAAAAACTACGCAGCAAGTTCACTGACAAGTTGCAGCAGAGCCCTCCATGTTTTACTGCCAAGCAGTGTAGCTGGGGAAGGGCGTCCATTCCACCTGTATCGCGTTGGAGTACCTTTAGCGTCCCAGCGATCGAAGCCTGCAGCTTTAAGGTGTTCAGAGTCGATAGCATGGATCATGCCTCAGACTCTGGCGTCACGAATGGCCACTGGCAACACGCATTTGCTCACACTGCTCAACCTGAACACTTGTCAGGATCGTTCAATGAAGCTTCTGACCCCTGGAATGCGGCAAGGTCCAGCGTGCAGTCTTGGAATTTTGGCAGCAGGCAATGGCGAAAAGAAAGCGGCGCCAAGTGTCTGGGATGGCAGCGCTCCTGTCGGCCGCCAACCGCATGTGCCGCATGTGAAGGCAGCCAGCGGCACGCTCTTCGGAAGCTTGCCGTCTTTCTTCTCGTTCTCAAAGGCAAACTGCTTGCGTCAGTCGGCGCACAACGCGTCGCTGCTTGAGCCGGACTGAGAAAGCCAAGCCGTGCGAAACCCAAACACAAAGCCTGGCCCTGCCTTAATCGCCGCTTTGTTGACTTGTTCTTTTGCAGTTCTGGTGATTTTTCAAGGGTCGCTGCTGCGGAGTGACCGTCAGTGGAAATGCCTCAGACTCACTTAGGAGACTTCATGACAAAACTGCCAAGAGGGTACTTTGTTTGGGAACTGCGCACAAGCCAAAAGGGTATTGCAGGCAACTTTCCAGGGGCAAGGGCCCAAAGTCCCCTGCCACATTGCAGGCGGGGACTTTGGCGCCCTAGTTCTGCAAAACCCGCCAGCTTGGTCAACATGCAAGCACGCGCCTCGCAGGCGCTCTTCGCGCTTTGTGTGTGCCAAACTCCCCTTCTGCAGCGTGGGAGGGGAGTTTGGCATTGGTCACACGGCAGGGGTGTCAAACTCCCCTTTTGCATTGGGCAGACTCTGCTGCCAAAGTATCCTTCCTAAAAACCTGGCTTTGGGAAACTAGAGCTACATTTTGTGAATGCCTGGGCCAACAAGACGTCCCTGTGTTCATTCATCCAGCCACGCGCATGGAGCGACGCACATATTTGCCACGCATCATCTATTAATGACAACTGTGTGCTCTGACAATTGGTTTCCGCCAAGCAAGACACGAGCAGGCTTGCTCACACCCTCACAGAAAGGCAGCTCATGTTGATCTAGCTGGCAAAACAAAGGGGCCCTTGGTCTATTTTACTTTTCTATAAACAAGGTTATTATATCAAAATACGCCTCACGAAAAGGAACGAGGCAAGCAAAGCGCTAAAGGCTTCTGTGTGGTAAAAGCGGGGGGGGGGGGGCTATTTTCTAGTTTAGAGAGCCAAACAAGGGATTTCTGCAAGGAGGGATGTAGGGGGTTTTGATATAGGTTGATGGAACACCAAGCCCGAGAACAAGACAAATCAGCGGGTAGGCATTTTTGCGACCCCCGACCGCAAACCTCCAAGCGCAAAATTTCACGTTGGAATCCGCCGACGGAAGGAGAGCCCCGCTGATCCACCGTGCGAATGTCTCCGGCGAGGCTGAGTTCTTTGGCGGGCTGCCGCCCTGTTAAGGCGCCGTCTCTTCCACAAGCCCTTGTCATCAGCGCTTGGCTCGTCAAGCGTATTCCAGGAGAACTTCCACAAACCAGCGGCGACAAGCGAAGCGCACCGATGCGACACCTCTCTGATTGCGATGCGCGCAGCCGACTGATTTTGTCAGTGTGGCTTGCGCGCTCCGGAGCGCACTGTTCTTGCAAATGCTTCTGCAGTTGTTGTGTTCTTTAACACGCGTGCGTCTGTGAAGGAAGCATGCGCTTGCGACTGCACGGCTTTCATATCTCGAGTTTGCCAGCCCTTCACCACGTCGTGTTTTTCCGCATGTCTCGATGGCAGCGCGCTCCGGAGCGCGCAAACTTCATGGGCCCGCTTGCTTTTAATTGCACGCTTGCAGACTGTGCTCGCGCTGACCATTGCTTGGCATGTCTGACCAAACAACACAACATGTGAATGCTACGAGCTGCGCGCTCCGGAGCGCGCAAGCAGTACAAAGCAACACACGCACACGCACAGACGTCATACGGCAAAGCGGCTAAGCTGCGCAGTCTTCTCACGAAACAGCCAGCGCCGCGCTAGCTAAGCTTAACATTATCGCATGGAAGATGACGCGCAAACAGATATTCGCAGGGATTTGCATGGCTTACGTTGCGGGTAGTTGTTCCAGTCAGCAAAACCACATGCAAAAAACGTGTCTGCTTGGGATCTCTACACGCGTCCTAGTTCTCGCACGTGTTGTCCTGCAGCGCGCTCCGGAGCGCGCAGCCTTCCTTGGCGCGCTTGGCCATGTTCGCGCTAACTGCCGAATGACAGTGCAACATCAGTGCTACGATCTGCGCGCTCCGCAGCGCAAGCCATGCAAAACAACAATACGGAAGTAGACTACGCAGAGCAATCTACTCGTCAAACAGTGACCGCGCGCTCCGGAGCGCAGCGCCTTGCTCAAAAGGCGTCTGCGCCTGTGTTCTTTCGCGGCGCGTGCGAATACAGAATATAGACATATAAAAGTAAACACACGTACGGAAATGCATGGCTTAAGTTTCAAGTACTTGGTGCAGCTTGTCCTTCTTGAGCCTCCAAAAAAACCGACACTAGCACATTCAAAAAATGAAAAGACAGCCCAGCAAAACCAGTTTGTGGGCGTGCTGTCACTCGGGCTCCTCAAACCTCTGGGCCCCTCAAACCTCCGCTACGGCCTCCGCCACGGCCTCCGCCGCGGCACGCAGCCATGAGCTAGTAGAAGCTGAGAAACATGCTATCGTAGTCTGGTAGCTGGCAGCAAGTGCCACAAAGGGAAACTAACGCGTGCCTTAAAACTTGAAGATCCCGCAAATTTGGTGATTTCTGGCCTAGGTGTCTTTCAAACAACAGCTAATAACGCAATGTCGTAGTGTTGCCTCCGTCCCTTGGCTTAAGTCACAAAACCCCCGCTGAAAAAATACAACCCCGCTGCCAGGGTGCTTTGCCGAGGATAAGCCCATATTATCAACCAATTGATGTCCATGTCGCTTGATCTATTGTAGATTGAGAGATTGCGAGGACACAATCTTGAGCCATGACTGGCAGAAGCAGATCTAGTGTCGGCTTCTGAGCTGCTTCTCCGTTATCCCTATTGAATTAGCCATATTTGGGATGGCACAACAGGGGGCCATCTAGCACTTCTATGCGATCATGCAATCTCACTGGCCCACTGACTCCCAAATCAGACGCCATGGCAGGTGTTGGACGCGATTGGAGGTGCAGGGCACTGTTCGGGAGCCCAGATTCAAGATAGAGTTGACTGTTATTTGGGAATCAGCGAATCAGCTGCAAAGCTTGCTTCAGATGCCTTCACCGTTTTGCCCGCCTCAGGTGCCCGCTGGCCGCGAAAACAACGGCGCGGTGGTGCACAGCAATAAGATGTATTTGCAGCTTTGGCGGCAAGGGAGGCGGAAACCAGGTCTAAAAATTTGCAAGCCCTTGGTGCAGGTGCCTTACTGGGTAGTCCTGGATGTCCCCAGCATTTTAGTCATGAAGTTTGAGGCGAGGTAGTCCCAAAACTTGAGCTTTTTTTCAGAGCATCATGCAGGGCTAAATGTTTTCCTTCCCCTTGGAGGCTTGTACGCCACTCACAGGGTCAATCTTACTTGATGATTTCAATTATGTCTTTGAGGGGGGCTGATGTTGGGGGGCTCACACCTGTCAAGCCGAGATTGAGCCTCAGGTTCGGAGGATACTCCGGCTTCACCTGGCTGAACGACTTCCATAGCTTCAATTTCGACACCAGCACCTGGCAGGCAGTGCCGTGGGGGCGCCCAGCTTTCCAGCTGGCCGGCTGGAGTATATACTTATGCGGCTAGCAGCACTCTGCTTTCCGCAAGCTTTGCTTGCCTACTTGGCTTTGCTTTGCGCAGCTTTTCCATGCTTTGCTTTGTTCTTTGCTTTGCTTTCTCTCTTTGCTCTGCTTTCTTCTTTGATTTGCTTTGCCTTGCTATATCTTGCGCCTTCGCTTTGCGCTGTTCTGCATTTGGTTTGCTCTGCATTTCATTGCATTTATTTGTGCTGCTTGGCTTATGTGCGTGCCTGCATGCTTGCTTGCTTGCTTTGCCGGACCGTGCCTTGCTTTGCCATGCTTTGCCATGCTTTGCCAACCTTGCCTTGCCCTGCCTTGCTTGTTTGCAATCTGCTTTGCTTTGCTTTGCTCAGCACTTTTGTGCCTTGACTTGCTTTGACACACCAAAGCAAGGTTCGGCCACTTTACTGTGCTTTGCTTTCCGCTTTGCTTTCCGCTTTGCTTTCCGCTTTGCTTTCTGCTTTGCTTTCTGCTTTGCTTTCTACTTGGCGTTGCTTTGCAGATGCGAGAGCGACCCGGGTTGAACTGATGTGTCAACAGCGGCTTGCGTGAACACTTCAGCAATTTTAGCCTCACATTGGTACCCCTGCACCCTACCGCTTGCAGGTCAAAGATAACCTTTGACCGGCGCTATGTATACCGTTCGCTGGATCTTGTCTACCCTGATCGCAGTCCAGTGTTCTGGAGCTGACGTCTCAGGCTGTGAGACATGCGCACCGCCGAATCATGGGTCTGCGTTGCTGCAGCGGGGCACCAAAGCCTATATGAGCACCGACCGTGCGAAGGCCAAACCGGCCGGGCTGGAGCGCAGCCTCTTCATATTACCAGCAGATGCAGATCCTACGCTTCTTCCGGCCATCATCCCAGCTGCTGTCAAATCCGCCGGTGAGCCAGCCATCCTGGTAATGCAGGAAGTTGAGGATGCTGTGGAAGCAGATTTTGTGACGCAGTACCGCCCAGAAACCACCTATCTCTGGGGCTCGGCATCTGCAGGAAGCTTGGCAGGGCTTCTTGGGCAAGAAGTGGCTTTGACAGCGTCCTCCACCTGTGCTGCGTCAGCCGTGCTGGCGCAGCATTTCTGGCATGAAAGCTCTGAGATCGTCGTGGCAAAATGTGATGCCCTCGGCACTGTGCGAGTCCATTTCGTGTGTGTGTGTGTTCTCTAAGGAAGGAGCTTGTATGTCGTAAGACGTGTCCAAGTTCCAAGTTGAGCTTTGCCCCAGGCGATGACTATGCAGCAGCGCTGATGGCCGCTCCCCTGGCAGCGAAACACGGTGTGCCGCTGATTCTTGTCGATGACCAGGCAGGAAGCTTAGGTCAAAGCCAGTGGGCTTGTGACCCGCATCCACAAAGGAACATGGTTGTTTGCCTGTGGGTTTTCCTTTGTAAGCAACCCAAAAGCAGTACCGTTGAAAGAAAATCACAGGCAAACAAAGAGAACGTGCGCATTTCAGACTTCGGAGGGCGTGTTCTGTCAGTGTCGCTGGCCCGAAGGCTACCCTGAAGTCGGTGATCGATGCGCTGAAGGTGCAAGAGCTTTTCTACGTGGGAGCTGCAGCTTGGGATAATTCCTTCGTACCACAAACCGATCTGCGCGATGGCGTGGAGGCCGGTGGCGAGTTTCAATTATCCTGTTCGAAAGTTTGTTCAACACGTTTCTGAGCTTCCGACTTCCCAGGTCTACACTACATTGGGCAAGCCCGAGTACTTGGCAATCGCCAATCCTTCTGATCTGCAAGCGCCGATATTCAAGGGTCTTTCAGCTATGGCACCTATGATTGCTTCACTTCGAGGAGCGCACGGGCTGCGCGTTCGACCCGCAAGCGAGCCATGCCCAGGATCTAGAAAGGTCCTCAAAATCGTTAGGCACTTCTTGTCCTGGCCAAGAATGATGCATGTTCGCAGGAGGTGCAGTGCTTCCCGTGACGGGTGGAGACGTTTCTGCGGATGCGATCAAGCAGCAGCTGAAGGCGCACATTGCGCACGGCATGCCAAAGTATGTGGCTCTGGTGGGTGGACCTCATGCCGTTCCACCTCATTGTGAAATTGGCAACTTCTTCGGTGAGGCGACTCGGCACCAGTTGCAATGTTCAAAGTCACGTCGTATTGTACTCCGATCGCCCTATGACTGCCGTAGAGAGTCGGCGGTCGATAGTAGCGCAAGGAGAAATGCCGCGATGCGCCGTATGCGGATTTGGATGAGGACATCTTCCTCGATGTTGCCTTGGGGCGCATTGTAGCACGAAACTTGGCATCGGCGAGCCTTCTAGTGTGCCTGGGCTATTGATTTTCGTCAAAAGTTTACCCGGTAAGCTTCTCATGAGCTCGCAAAGATGAAAGTTGAAGACTACTGACGCACTCACAAGACTTCCCGTCGTGCGAAGGTCTCGCATCGGCAACTATGACTATGTCCGTGACGCAGCTTCAGAAGGTCGCTTTGGCATGGGAGGGAATTTGAAATCCTCTGCAGACAGCATCCGACCCGCTCTCACCAATGTGGGTTTCAGTGTGGACATGGTGGATGAACACGAGCTTGCGCAAGCTTTGTTTTTGTAAGACATGTTTTTGATTAGTTATTTTTTTACACGAGCTTGCGCAACTCCAGAAGCTTCAGGCAGGAGCTGTTGATGGACATTGCAGTTTAGGTAAACGAGACACGGACGATACAGCTTGTTTGCACAAACCTTTCCAACTTCAGGTCTCTGCGTTCATCCACGTGGACCATGCTGGAGCTGGAGGAATGGGTCATTCCTTCAAGTACAACACCAAGGTGCTGCTGTCTCCTTCTGTGGTGAGTTCCTTGGAAGCCGACGGGCGCTATTGCTACTGCCGCTGTTGCTGTTACTACTTCACAGCTCACAATTTGGCGCTTAAGGCTTACATTTGAACCGGAGCAAACCGGAGCAAACAGGTCCTGTTCCCAAACTGGGACCACCCTTCCCGGGAATCTGCCTTCCGCCTTCAAGGGCGGCGGATTCAAAATAGTCGATTAATTGTGACCATCCCAAGGTTGTCATGCATGTGGTGATGCGAGGTTCTGGTGGTTGCTCCACAGCTGGCTTCGACAAACTCAGCGATCCTATGGACTCGGTGGTCTTGACACTGCTGCAGCTTGGCAGCGTATCCTTGGATGTGCGGCCCCTGCGCTTCGAGTTGCAATCGCAACAACCCACCCATAACCCGAAGCGTCCATGTTGGAAATGACAAGTGAGGCATTACGGAGCTGTGGCATTTCTGGGTGGGCCGCGGAATGCGATCACCGCCTCCGGCTTGGTGCATGCTGCCTTTTGGAATGAAATCGCGCTGGGCAAGAGCATTGGCGAAGCCTTCGTGGCAGGTTGGAACAACGTGGCGCTGAACCACATAGATCAGGCCACGGATGCTGCTCAGAAGACCGCCGAGTACGTGATGATGAACATCGCTTTGATGGGGGACCCGGCCTTCAAACTCTTCATTCCAAGTGCGCCGCAGCAGCGGCCGGCTGAAGTCGTCCAGATGAGCAATGGTCGTTTGAAGGTCACAGGCCCACAACAGTGGACCAAATTCAAAGCTGATCAGTCCTTGTCTGACGAGTGGAATTGGCAAGGAGATCTCTACTACTATGGGGCCCCTGGAGCCACGCCACAGAAGATGTGGCATGGAAGCAAGCTCCATGATGTTGAGTTCCCATACCTCTATGCGCGCTTTACCACGACGGCGGACGTGGTGGGCTTCAAGGCATCCGAAGTGCCTCTTCCACTGGGCTGGACCGGCCCTGATCGCGGACGCGGCTATCCCGGTTCAGCTGGCACCAGCTTGCACGAGGACCGCCACGCAGATGGCAGCAAGACGCTCATGTGGCGCGTGCGTCTCCTGGACTACGACTGTGAGACCGGCGAGGTGACGGGTCAGCTCGCGGACCAGACCTACGAGATGATCCTCGGAGGCTCCGCCAAGCCCACGCCGCACGACTTGTGTCAAAAGGGCTGCGTTGAGGCTGGTTATTGCTGCGGCCGTGACAGTGGATGCGGGCGTCCCAGCTGTGGGCAGGGCTGCGAGATTGCTCTCTACTCCAACACCCTTTACTCCTGCATCAACGAGTGTAAAGCCAAGACGGGATGTTTTACATGGAGCTTGGCTTTCGGACAGACCAACATGTGCACGGTATGCACTGCTTCTGGTGGCGGCTCATGCTCCGAAAGCTGCGAGCCCGAAGGTGGATGCGAGTATGCTTGCAGGAGCATGAACTTGCCTGCCCCTCCTACGACGACCTTGTCAACAACACTGGCTCCGGTGGACATTTGCAAGGCGCAATGCAGCCAGGAGCGGATGCCGAAGAGGGACGTAGCGAGGCAACGTAGCATGTTGCTTTCCGGGGATAAGTTTCAAGACGTTTGAAGGATTCTTTGCGCAGGACGGCTATTGCTGTGGCCGTGACAGCGGCTGCGATCGACCAAGCTGTCAGCTTGGCTGTGAGATCGCCTCCCAATCGAGTAGTTTGCAGACTTGCGTGGACACCTGTAAGGCAAGCTCAGGGTGTTGGGTTTCGGTCTCCGGTTTTCCCACCGCCAACATGTGCACGGTGTGCACTCCGTCAGCTGGCGGATCTTGCAGCGAGAACTGCGAGAACGCCGGCGGCTGTCAGCACGCGTGCTCCGTGATGTTTGCCGGGTGACCTTGTTTTAAGCCATGACCTGGCGTTATGAATCATAGCTGACTTCGCTGCATACTTTGGATACTTACAGGAGCCGCCTGTCGCAGCGCGCTTTCAGCAAAATGAGCCAATGATACGTTGTGAGCCGCAGAAGCTGCATTGCTGTGGCAAGTGGCCAGTTGTATATATGCGGAATTTTACCCCAGTTCTTCCTTGTTCCGAGCTCTCCTTTCAGCGCATCCTTGATGCGCCCCGATGACACAGCGTTCATCCAAGCTAGCTCTCGCCGGAGCATGTTTGAACATGGACATTTCTCGAGCCAAGGTCCGGTCACAAGGGCAGCGTGCCCTCGACCCGCTTTGGCTACGTCTCCGCGGTGTCGGCAGCTGAGGCATTGCCAGCTGGAGAGAGTTTGTTGCATTTTTGGTAGCCACTTCAAGATGCGTGTGTCCAACAAAAACTTGCCTGTAGTAGTTGGCCACAGACATCATGCAATCTGCACACAGGCTATACTGTCAACAACCATCGACATAAAATGCTTGCATGATCAACTTGCACTGAGGAATGATGGTGACTTCATGGTACGTGTTTGGGGGCTACGATGGCTCAGCATGGTTTGAATGACATTTTTCGAGCTTTGACTTTGGAGCCGGGGGCGCGGGCACTTAGAAACAACGGCCGCTGGTGCTGAGCAACACGGGAACGGTCAACCTCTGAAGCTATGGTATGAGAGCCGTACTCAACTTTGGAGGCTTAGATCTTGCGTCCGACACTGTGCCTTATTGGACTCAAGGGCCGTCAAGCGAGAGTTTTTTTCCAAAGCCACAAGCACTTTTGCATACGCCTATGAAGCAGCTGCCATGCAACATGTAATTGTAAACGCTTCGCGTTGCCCGCCTCGGGCCCAGCCTAGTTTGAGGGAAGGGTCAGGAACACCGAAATCCAGTGTTGGGAAGGTCAGACAAGTCAGACAAGCCGGCCTCGCCTGGTTGGGCTGGGCCACAGGCTAGTCTCAGACACATCAGATAAGCCTGCGCTGGGCCTGAAGCTAGTCTCGGGCAGCTTGGCTGGACCTTGCTTGCGTGGGTTGTTGGTTGAGCTGAAGCTAGTTTACGGCGGGCTGGGCAGCCGCACTGAGGGGGCTGGGCTATGGCTGGGCTGGGCCTGAGGCCAGTATCAGACACGTCAGACAGGCCTGGCCAGCAGGCGGACTGGGCTGGGCTAGACGCTAGTTGAGCCCAGGCTGGTGAGGCCCAGTCTCGGCGCTAGATAGGCTGAGGCCTGCGAGTCTCAAACCGGGTGGGCTTGGGTGGGGTTGGCTTAGGCGGGTTGTTGGTTGGGCTGGGCCTGAAGCTAGTCTCAGCCACGAGGCTGCGAAGCCATGGGTGGTGCTGGGCAGCTGGATTATGGTGTTGGTTGCGCCTGGAACTTCGGCTGGCTGGCTGAGCTGTGCTTGGGCGGGTCGCTGGATGGGCTGAGGCTGGGTAGCGAGTTGCTGGCTAGGCTGGGTCTGAGGCCAGTCGCAGACACGTAAGACACGCCAGCAGGCGGGCTGAGGGACTGGGCCTGAGGCTAGTCTCAGGCTGGCGTACCTTGAGACCAGTCTCAGACTGCGCCGAAGGGGCCTGGTCAGCCTGGGCTGCTGAGTAGCTGGCATAGCTTGAGACCAGTCTCAGAGGCCAGTCTCAGACATGTTAGCCAAACCTGACCTTGGCACACTGGGCTGAGCCTGCTGGTGGGCTGGGAGCTGGGGGCCGGTAGTGGCTGGCATGCCCTGAGATGCGCTGGGGCCTGGGCTGGGCAGGCTTTGGGCTGGGCCTGAAGCTAGTCTCAGCCACGAGGCTGCGAAGCCAGCCGGACGCTGGTTGTGCCTGGAACTTGGGCTGGGCGGGCTGGGCTGAGCTGTGCTTGGGCGGGTTGCTGGATGGGCAAGGCCTGTTTCATACACACTTGGGCCCGAGGCTGGGTGGCGAGTTGGCTG